ATTTATCATAGAGTAGATTTGTATATTACATAACTACGCGAGTGAAGCCGCTGGCAGAAAGCTCATAGACATATATAAATAATAATTAATAAATTTTTAAAAATGTTTAATAATTGAGAAAATTGGAAAACAAGTTAAAAATTATTTATTTTATTTATGAAAAAGTTTTCATTTGTTCAAAGATAAAGTAGTTATACATATATATACTCTATCTATTAAAAATTAAATCACCAAAAACCTCCCATTTTGGTGATTTAATTTTTGTCTCTGAAAAAGTTATACTCTATGGAATACAAAACAGTTTGTTTTCCATTAGTCAGAATAAACATTCGTTGTGAATTAATAAAAGTGATGATGCCATATTTAAAAAAAATGTAATTTCAATATTTTCGAATTTGGTATGATGTGTTTCGGTTTTACCCGAGAATAATTACACAACGTTATTTGCTTCGTAAGTAATTGCGATAAGTAATAATATTTAGGCATATTTTTAAATGTTAATTAAGGCACGAAAACAAAGAAAATGCAGCTATGTTAAATTCGGAGTATTATTGAAGAAAAATATAGTTGTTTCAATGATAGTGTCAGTGTAAACATAAACAAGGGTGCTCTGTTGTTTCAGACATATGAAAAATATGCCGGATGAAAGAATGAAACTGACAGACAATGCATCCATTTACTTATAAACGGTTACTCTTTAGTAATGGCTTGCTGATGCAGACTGTAATAGAATCGAAGTTGCCTTCATCTTTTATGGACAACGACGTTTAATAGTAACACTAGAGGCTCTTAGGGTATTCCCCGATGGCTCCAATACCTCATCAGATACAGGTGCTGGTGTATTCTCTGAGGACCTTAATTAACATTACTCTTTGCCCCTCAGCCCGTACAAACACATATTTTCAGACTTAATGTATGGCGATTACCTAGGCCACATCATTACAAGGAAAGTAACGGAATTGGTAATCCGAATCTTTGATAGGAAATCAGTTCCACTTAATATCAAAACTAGTTCCGACAGATCGGGTCTGCATAAGTGTGACAAGTTTCTAAACATGGTAAGATCACTGAATAAAATTATAATCAACGGATAAAAGACACAATGGATCAATTGAAATGACGTAACCTATTATTAACTGGCATGTATTCGATTGTCTGAATGCAGTACCAATAGACCTAGAACCGATTAGCTAGCTAAATGATTCCTACAATTAAGTTAAGGATTAATGCGCCTGGTGCTGTCACTGGTCACGGTAATTATAACAGGCACTTATTTCATCCATGCGGAGAGTTTTTCATGGAGGCCAAAGAAAAAGCGTCCTGCTGGAATGCAATGGATTGGCCATAAGTCATAATTGGTGATAAGCTGTCAAATCAAAGATTTTTTATAAAAACATTTTTATTGGCCATATAACTCAGAAAGTTACACTCGGCAAGTCTTTTACAATAAGCAATTAGAATTAAATACTAAGTTCGAAATCATGCAGGTCTAATCAATGTAGGAATGTAAAATTGACTGGAATGACTTCTAGTCTTACGCATACAACAGGGGCAATTTTCACGTTGGGTTGCAGAGGAAGGAAGAAGGAGTCATATAACGTAGAAGGAGAAGAATGTAGAAGCCATAAGAGGTAAATGCACACATTACACAATCATCAAAAATGTTAAAAACCGGCAAGGCGTGTTAAAGAAATTGTGATTGTGGCACTTGATTCTCATTGCCCACCCCCAAGGGATTTGGAGTGCTGATATAGATAGATATTCTAAACCAAAATTTATATCAGTTATAAATCGAAGTGATGGTTTAATAACGTTAGAACTGGATTGAATAATGTAATTAATACATATACTTAAACAATATTGATGGTATCTAAAATAATATAATAGAACCCGTTCACAGAGATTAGTTTGGATGAACCATTACCATGACTATTAGTTAAACCGAAACTGCGAAGATTATTCTCACTGAAGGTTTCAATTGTAGCAAATCCGGTTCGTGATAGCCAGTGAAATTAGTCGTCGAGGAAGACAGAAATTAAGAGCATTCATTAAAGGTGTTTGATAAATATTGAAGTTACCGAATTTACGTAACCGCTTTTGGTTTGTTAGCAAAGGCGAATGTGGAGAAACTTACCTAGATGTTTATAAGACATACAACTTTAGAAATTATATAATTGTCGAATTTTACTAAACAAGAAACGTTTAGAAGAAGATTATCAATAATATAAGCGATATATAATGCCGTTTGCTTTGAATTTCTGGAGAAAATGAGGTCAGTGAACAATTTCATAAGTTAAAACTTTCGTATCACAAGGGTGTGAGATAAATTGGCTATGTCTAATATTGAAACGAATTTATAAGAGAAATAAATATATTGAAAAACATATTTTTGACAAACAGATAAACTCTTTAGACGACTACTGGTTAGAAATTATTAAAATATCATCTTATCCAGTAATGTTTCAATTTTTCCTAATATCTAATTGCAAAGATTGGTATGATTTTAAAGAATACGTCACTACTTACTATTTATTGTGATTCTTTCGCAAATGATTCGCAGCAAAAAAATTTTTCTCTCCGAGATTTCTAATTTTAGTACCATTCCGAGAAAATATTATCTTTTGTAGCAGTAGTAGGTCTTCATGAGTATAGTCGTATTCGAGACTTCTGTACGTTCGCTGATTAGGTATAGAAACAAAATAAAAACTTCCTCAGAGTAAGAAACGTTATTTTAGCTTCATGTCGATACGCTATAATGAAGAACTATTGAGGAAGAGATATAAAAAAATATTTATTTACCAAATAATAAAAGAATGAGCAAAAGTGGGCCGAGGAAACTATTAATATAAGATCGTTTTCCAACTTAATAAAGTATGGGAAACGATTGTATCTTACATATTGCTACTTTAAGGGCTCTATTGATTGTGGAAGTATCATAATAAAGTAATTAGCGCAGCTAATTAGTAGGCGTGGTTTGTTTATAATGCTACCTACACATAAGTAAGCTGTTTGCTTTCAAAATCCGCTGTAATGGGAAGAAAAAAATAACATTTTGATTTGATAAGTTTTGATGTAAACTGATTGGTTATAAACTGATTATAAATATCATCAATCAATTTATAGACGTGGAAACGTCGCTGGGTGAAAAGTTATTAGGCGGGGAGGGGGGGGGGGAGCACAATCTATCGCAGCGCTCATGGTGACCAAAAGTAAAAACATTGCGAGCTTTGTCATCTGTCATACATACCCTTGTCCCATGCCATAAACTTTTTAATTATGCATTATAATATAAAAAATACTAATATAAATGATTTAAAAAAGTTACATTTAAATAATGATTTGTATAAGAATTGTCAAAATCAATAAACTGCGCTGAAATATGTAAATATTCTAAATGATAAAAAAAAATTTATTAACCCAATATCACATAACATATATTTTAAAATAAAATAATATTCTGATTTATTACTTTTGTTATTATAATCCTTATTTGTACAATTATTTTCTAAATACAATGACTAAAAATATTAGTTGATGTTTGCTATTATCACTTAGGTACTTTAGTAGAAATAATAGTAAAATAAAAACTTATTCGTAATTATGAGTAAGAAAAATAAGTAAGTTTTAATTCTATATTGTATTACACACATCACGGTCCACGGAGAAATACTCATTTGAATGTATAAAACATATTTAATTTATTACTAATGTTAGAGGAATAACTGCATACTTTTACTATTATTTAATGAAATCGTCAAAGGCGCCGCTCTAATTTCTTGTTTTACAGTAAAATTGCAACTAAAACAAATTCTGACATAACCAAAATAAAACATATCTATCTTCTATACTAACAGTATAAAAAGTGTCTGTACATTTAATATATTTTCAAGAATTGAGGGCAATACTATAACAATATAATGGAATACAATTCAAAGTTTTTTTTTTGTCTTTCTGTTTGTCTATATGTCTGTTTGAATGTACACTAATTTCTGAAACTACTGAACAGTTTTTAATAATTCTTTTTTTTTATTTTGAAGCTTAATTAATACTGGCCACCAAATGACACTAATTCATTTTGGTGCTGGCGAAATGACGCTATAGCAAAAGTTATTCCACCGACATGCAGGTTTTGCTGCGTGACTAAAATTTGAAGATTTAAAACATCTGATGTGAAACTGTAAGAGTCCGCTGCACTATAACATACACGGAAACGATGTTTTATCATAAGTTGTTCATAGTAATAAGCATTTGCCGTTGACTTATAAGAATCGAATATCTGAAACGTGATGTGAAACTCTAAGAGACTACTAACACTATAACATTCAGGACTAAGATCTTAATAAAACTTGTTTAGACCGATGAGCATATTCTGTTGCGTGATTCAAATTCAACCATGGCTGAAATTAGGCAGCGGAATAAGATCGCTCCCGCAGTAGCATCTTCAGGGATTGCTGCTAAATTGCTTCCCGGTGGTAAGACAGCACAAAATCCACACAATGTTCAAAATTATAATTGATTTACAGCCGCACTCAGAGATGTTCATTTAATAAGTATTAATTAATACTTAACTAATTATAATTAAATTAGTTAATTGTACTTACCTCCCAGAGACGAAATTTAATGGTCCGTTAGTTAATTATAGCTTTAAGTAATAATAGGACGGTGCATATTATCGAAACGCATGTCGATACAGTGTAGTATTGCCACACGCATTAAGTCATTGAAATAATGTTTGGGTAAAGTAGTTTTTACACCTAAATATTTGTATTTTCCATTAGAGTTGAAGTAATTTACGTAAATTCTTGTTGTTTTCACTTAAAATATGTACAAATGAAATAAATAAAACTAAACAAACTAACAATTCGATGATTTTTGAATACGGCGACACCGAACGCTATTGTCATTGTCAAACTAACCTTTAAAATAGAAAATTTGTGTTTTTGTTCACGTTCGTGTTAAATAAGTTATTTTATTAATATTTGGAATCATCTGGATTAATAATGGTAAGTACCATTATTTGCATATTACCAATGAATAAAAAATACACTCGTGCTAAATCCAACATTTAATTTTAGGAAGATAATAAAACACCACGCAAAAGAGTTGCCAATTTCACTGCTGATGAAAAAGCACTTTTAGCTCAATTGATCAAGAAAAGACCGATTATCGAAACAAAGTTCACAGATGGAAAATCAATTGTAAAGAAAAAAATGGCTTGGGGCTCAGTCACCGAAGAATTCAACTGCAATGCTCATGTCACCAAAGTATAATATGCACAATATTGTTGAACAGTTTTATGTTGTCTGCTATTAAGAATGTTTGCAGTAATTGTACTAATTTTGTTTTTTCAGCGTGATACAATAACATTAAAAAGAGCATGGGACAACTTAAAAGCCATGACACGTAAAGCAAGGGCCACAGAAAGGGGGAATCTTATAAAGACTGGTGGTGGACCATCAGATCTCCCACCTACCTCACAGCAAGGTGCCATAATAAGTATGGTAGAAGAGGTAAACTACTTTGGAATAGTACATAACCTTATTCTGACTGTGATGTACTAGTAAATCTTTTATTTTTCCAGGCTGCTCCTGTAATAATTTGTGAAGTCCAAAACACATTTGACAGTGATGGGACCGTCTTACTTTCGATTGAAAACTCACAGAAAGAAAACGTTCACCTAGAGGATTTTGAGGCAAAACTGGAAAACAGTCAAACAGATACTGTAGAACCAGAAGTTACCTTGGAACAGAACATAGGTATGTTTACTTTTTAACTGCAAATTGTATATCATCAAATCTTAAAATATTTGCTATTCCCTCTTTGAAGAATAATAAATTGATGGACAGAATTGTCTTTTGTATTTAATTGATTTTAATAATATTGCATGAAATTTTTCTTGCCAAAAGTATGGACATTTTGCTAACAATTCTTGAAACAGATTGTTGGCAAATATTCATAACATCACCTTCTAATTTCTGTAACAAAAAATAAAAAATTAAGAACACAATGGGCTAATCTATGCATATACCTATGTATGGCAATGTAAAGGTAAGTGTGAGTGAATATAATATTAGCCGGCTGTAAAACAAGTATATAGTTTATAATATAACAATATAATTACAATCAATTTAATGATTCAACTTACCTGATAACTCCCAGTGGCGAAGAATCGTAATGTTAACAATAACATTATTTCAGGAGCAAATGGTAAACCTCTCTTGTTACGACGCCAACTTTCATCAAGTCCCAACATTGGTAATATTCTGTTTTTTACAGCATGAGGTGTAAATCTATACCTCGCATAAAATTCACGTACGGAATATTTTGAGAAAGGATCCGAATAATCACGTAAATACCGCCGTGGTCCTGTTTCTCTAATCCTTCTTGCATAATTAACAAACTCTACGAAATCTTCGAAATCAGACATTGCTTTTTTTAGAAGAAATAGCTACCTGATTAAAATAAAATTGAAACACTCGTGGTAACTCACTTTCATAACCTATATAAAGAATGAAATAAATCTGACATTAGCAAGTTAAGTAAACGTTCAGCTGTCATTATAGTTAATTGTAATTAAACATCACTAATGAAACGTTAACTGTCTCTGAGAGTGAACTTTCATTAATCACTAGTTAAATATCGTTAAGTAATCATTAAAACGACTCTGAGTGCGGCTGTTAGACAGGACTGCAACACCAACCTGTTCTATAACGTGCAATTGTGACAAAGCGAGTATTACAGGATTGGTGTCTAATCTTTTAGGACGAATATACCATGTCCAAAAAGCCCTCGAAGTGAACAGAACGTTATCACATATTTGCCTAGATGAATATATGGAACAAGAGTAGATGAAATTAATGCTTCATTGAAAATTTCACACCCCTGGTCACGTATAAAAATATTTAGACTAATTTATAAATATGAGAGTCCAACTTGGCGATATTTAACAAGCCTAAGATTTTTCTTACATATTGTGAAAAATCCAGTAGATTCTGTGAATTTTCTGTCATCTACCTAATCACTATTTTATGAAGTTCACGCGAACGAAGTTGCGGGCACCAGCTAGTTCATATAATAAATTATCAAAAAACATGTACAACATTATTATTATAAACGCGTCTAATAATGAAATGTCTACTCAATTAATTTTAATTAAAAGACGACCAACATCGTAGTCTCTGTGAATCGTGGCTAGCGCCCGGAATGTCTGAAAATATGGGAAATTAAAAATACCCGAGCCTAAACGTCTTTATTAAACAATGTCTTTCTATCATGAGAGACGTACATATTTACTGGCACAGTGTGATATTGAAAAAATGAACGTCTCATTCATCATGTCATGTCTCAGCCTATTATTGTTGTCACTGCTCATGCCTCGAATCGAATAGGGAGAATGGACCATGACAAGGGAATGCAATCCCGCAACATAATTTGCATGTTTCTGAAAGTCATTGAGAAAACAGAGAATTCCTCTGTCCTAAATGCATCTATGATAGAACCACTTTCACGCTTGTAAGTAGAACTGTTAATAAACCGTTGCAGGCGAATTAAATATATTCGCAATTTAATCCACCGGACTCAAACAAATTTATTTCTTTCTTAATCAAAACTTCGAGAGAATGAACTCCGTAATGAGGGCGCCAAACAGTTTTAAAACTCGATACAGTTTGTTCAAGTTCATTTCTAAGTGACATTGGTTCAGGCTCGGTAGTTTCAGCTTGAATCATTGCGGCTACTGTAGCAAGATGAAAATCATTATGAATTTCACCATTCACGCGCTTCCGAACAACACATGGCGTTTATCGTTGCATAGTCCCACTAATTCTGCGGGATCCCACTCGGTTTATGTGCGGGAAATAGCGCGGGATCCTGGTATTTCGGTATCCTGGTATCCCGGTATCCTGGTATCCCGGTATTACATTCTCTAGCCAAGACCATACCACGCGGGCCCAACGCGGATTGGTGGCTATTAACAACTGTAGACGCAGCAGGTACCAACGGCTTAACGCATAGATGATTTTAAGACAGTAAATTTTTGGTCACCGATCCTATGACAGGCCATTGCGTAAATGACATGATACGGTTATTAATCGCAGACCGAGCGCGTTAGCCTCTAATTTACGCTCCTCTATGTCTTATTGGATTCATTTATTTATATACCAATTACAACGCTGGTACTCCTGTGGAAAATTATAAGGAGTCACCAGTCGTAGCACGTAGGGCTATCGGTCTGATGAATTACGTGACCGAAACCGTTTATAAGCCTTAATTAATTTTTAAATCTTATGTTTGTAAAGCTGTGTGTGTCCCTAATGCAATTCTCACAAAAGGAGTTCAATAGAAAAACGATTTCAGTTTCCTCTTTAGGGATTCCTTCGTTCCATTATTTATTTGTGATTCAGCGCGATGCAGCGAGCGAGCACTTCACATTGCATATTGGAGTTAGATAATGCTTTATCGGGTAGAAGAGAAGAACTTAATGTAGGTATACCTAATATACCCTACCATATAAGAAAAATATACCTAAAATGGAAAACCGAAATTACTTTACAGAAATTTTAGTGTAATTTGAAAGAAGCGAAGCGATTCCGAGGATCTAAAGCAAATTATCTTATTAGTGAAGATTAATTAATTTTACTATATAAGCAATCATGAAGCAATTTTGAAATTACTATAAGTAATTTATATATTTTATTACGTCTCATTTTTTAAGCTCCTTGATTACATTAATCACCACAGAATCATGTTGTAATGATCACGGTATATACGGTAAAAAAAAAAAAAAAATAATAATTTTTAACATTTCGACTCCTTTGTAAGTCCTGTGTACACGCAATAAAACATTTTGATCCCTAAAAGCAATATCAATCGGTCAGTTGTACAAACGTACATTAAGGTTTAATGACGCCTTTAAGCTCTAATTAGTTACAATTTATAAAACTATCCCAGTAAGTAATGTTACATATTTCTACTGGAACTGTGTTTGTAGTGTCAAAGATATAGTGTATACACAAAATGAAATCAATTGGCATCTTTAAGGAAAACACTTTGGAAAAAAAATCGATATATTGTAAATTTCAACACAGTAAATAAATTTTGGAAAACACCGTATGTTATTGCTCAGATCCACATAGATTTATAGTTAATGTTTTAACGAAAAAAAAAATGTTATTTTACTTTTTATAAAGGCTACGTAGATGTATTTCAAATCTGATCTACTTTTAAGTAATACAATCTTAATGATACACCATATACTTATTTTATTTTGTTTGCATTTACGAATAAAAACATCAAAGGAAAGACATAAATTTAGCCTCTTAATAAAAGCGACAGTCTCTTACAAGACACTTACTTTTGTTTTATAATAGATTGGGGAAAAAGTTTCTTCGCATTTTATTTGAAAATTCAAAACATTCGTTAATAAAGTTTATTTACATTTAACTAAATTATGTAGGCACAATTTTGTTCGACAACTTTTTGTCATCTTGAAGTTAGGGACATGATCCCAGATCCAAGTTTTAGCCGTAACATGGCCACCGGAGTGACGTGCATTTTTGACATCAAAATTTCCGGACTGAAAATGCTTAAACCAAATTTCTGCTACTCTCACAAAAACTGTACTAGGTCCATAAACGTTACAAATTTTTATTGTGGCTTATATTGCCTTTTCACCTTTTTCGTAATAAAATTTAAAATTTTATCGATTTTTATCATTAGATTCACAAATTTTGACAGTAGGAAAAACAAATAAAATCTCACATTCTCCTAATTTGAATTTGTCTTATTTTAATTTAAACTTTTTAATGATACCGAAACCAGCCAGATACAAATAGTATAGCCAAAAAGATTTTATTACACGTTTATGCACACACGAAAAGATTTATTTTCCAAACTAATATTATTAAATTTCAAAATATAAATGAACGGGTTATATATAATGGATAATTGAGTAAACCTAGATAAACAAAATGTTTAATTCGCGTGCCAAATTGTATGAAGATTTTAATTACTTTATAGGGCCAGTTTTTTGATCCGTGGTTAACTCAACCATTTGTTAAAATCTTCGACAAATGGTTAAATATCAGAAAAATATGTTTTTTGATTAATAGTTAGCCTAACTAATTGTCAGAATTCCAACCATTGGTCAAAAAATTTAACCATCACTGGAAGCTAGATTAAGCAAATGACCAATGGTTAAAAGTACAGATGAACATATGTACAACTGCGTTATATTTACTTGGTCACTTGTTATTGTTTTTACGTTGTTTTTATAATTAAGTATATTACATTTTTTTATATTAAGTATAGTTGATTTACGTTGTTTTTATAAACAACGTAAAAACAATTAATAAATTTTCCGAGTCATAATTATATGACATTATAGGTATTATAAGTTTCAGTTGTTTCCTATATACGTAGGTACAAGATTGCTTTCTAATGCCTGTGTTCAGTGAGTAGTCTCCCTTGCGTACAGCTATTTTCTCATCAAAGCTGCTAATCTATAAATTCTTGGATAGCCCGAGGTTTCCGTTATCGTTAAGATCACATTCTAAAAGACATTGAATTGTTGGTATTGGTTTGAAATGAATTAAAAAAAACGAGAGGATAATTTCTGGAGACCAGTATTACTCAGTAATGTGTTACAAAATGTAATTAATCGAAAAGCAAGTAAAAAACATAGTTATGAGAAAAGATTATTTTGAAGTTGATGATTATTTTATGGATCACAATTAATGCAATTCATAGCTTTCGCTTTGTTCTACAATGACAAACAGCAACTAATAACCATACGTAACCTAAAAAAGTACCTACTTATGCCTATGTCTACAATAAAATGATTGTTATACATAATATTTTAATAATGATATGATTGATGTAAATATCATTAGTAATTATATAGAACTGGTAAATTTATTTTGCACCTTCTTTTTGTCAGCCATAAAACATCCTCAAGTGAACTAGTGGTAAAGAAAATTTTGGACACTTCAAAATTGCTTGCAATGAGCTTACTTATTTGAATAAAGGATATTTTCATTTACAATCATTTTCATTGGAGTTTAATGGTTGTTCTACAGGTGGGTTTTAATAGTGCGGAATCACCGACATTGTCAACTTTACATGTAACCTCCATGTCCCACTTTTTATAATGCCCATTGACTGAGATTTTCTTTATCGATTTCGTTTTTATTTAAACTACCAGGTAGTCTTGTTATTATAAAAGATTGACAGAAAGTGTATTTCTATTTTTTATTTTATTTTAATTATATTATAAGATCTGTCTTTAGATTTTCAATAGATTAATGCTTTAGTATTCTAGTGAAGTTTCATACCTCAGTTAGCAATAAGGCAGCCATTTGCATTCTATGTTCATAATTATATGTGTTATGATGGAAATGTTTAACTGTGTACAAAAAAAAATCTAAATTCATTCATAGGTCAGTGCCTTAAATAACATAATAAATCCACCATCAGATTAACGCTATATTTCGAAAGTTTTAACGCCAGTTATTTATTATTATTTAATTAAATTATTTCACGCGTGGGAAAACTCCGAATTCTCACCTTAAAGCATTTGAAAGCAGCGTATTCGATATTATTATATACATATTTTTAGCATGTAGTATAATGGAACAATAATAATATTAGCGCCATCTCTTGACAGTGAACAATGAACTAAACCGTGATCGGCCCTTCTCAATAGTGAGTGGCTTTACGTCTCGTTTCAGTTGCTAACAACAGGAAAACATTTCGATTTCTGTCATGCTCCTACAAGACAGGTGTCAAACTCTAACACGTAATGAATGGGCTGTTCCTGTCCGACCAAAGCTGACATCGGTCTAATCAGAAA